GCCGTGGAGAGAGAGTCGGAGAAGAGACGTAGAGAGGAACTGTGGAGAGTAGAGAAAGAGAGTCGGAGAGGAGACGCAGAGAGAAGGCGTGGAGAGTGAGACAGAGTCGGAGAGGAGGAGCGACGTTGTGAGGAGGCGCGGAGAGTGAGAAAGAGCCGAAGAAGAGGAAAGAGGAAGAAGATGGATCTACATCTTGTTTGGAGATAGAGAAAAAGAAAGAGTGTATGGTATATTCTCGTGAGAGAAGAGAGATGTGTAATCTTTGCCTTTTAAAATTAACCAATGAGAAAGAAGCATGAGGATAACCAAACTCTTCATTTCTGGTCATTTGATTAAACTTAATCTATGGCCTATATTGATCAATTAATAAAACTGTTATATCATTAAATCGTTATTTTAGTAATTGAAATTATATGTTTTATTTAATTTATTTATGTAGTAATTAAGTTATTCATTTACATTTATAAAAATAATCATATAAGATTAATAAAATTATTAGATTTGACTTTTATGAGCAATTTTAAGTTAAATAAAACTAATGATATAAGATTAAAAATGATTAGTGAGTTTAGGATTTGGAATATAGTGTTTTGTGTGTTATATTTACAATTTAATGTAAGAGATTAAATTTAATATTTGAAGTTAAATATTAAAAAGACTAGAGTTTTAACATTTTAGTTATAGTTAGGGTATATGATATTTTTTGGGTATGATATATATTAGTCTATTGTTTAGGGTTTGAGGTTTTGATTTACTATATCAAATTAAAATTTTTAAAATATGAAAATGTGAATTTAAACTTAATATCTGAGACCATACTATGATAATATATCAATTTTATGGGTTGTATTTAAAATTTGGGGGTTAGGGTTTAGGGTATTAGGAATAAGGTGTAGAATTAAGATTTAACGTTTAAGATTTAGATTAAAAGTCTGATATAAGATTTCAAAAATAATGAAACTTTAAGTTTAAGTTTAAGACTGAAGTTATATTATGAAAATATTGAAGTTTAAAGCTTATGTTTAGGGTTTAGGGTTTTGTTTTTTTTTTAAATCACAACATACAAATAAACAAAAAAATATTTTAACAAATCTGAATGTGTTAATATTTCAAAAAAAAAACCGGTTCTAATATTGATTTACAAAATTATATTTGGTTTTAACATTTTGTTCACTTTTTCATTTTACGCTTGCCTTAAACAAAAGTTCATCACTTTCAAGTTTTAACCTTGGTTTGATCCAAGTCCACGAACAGAGCTCAAAATTATATTCAAGAAAGTTATTACATATAATCTCTTTTCAAGTCTTACACATATTGTGGAGTATGCTGAGTTAATCACCAAGGAGTTTCAGTGCTGTCTAGTAATAGAACAAAGCTCCTCCGATGCAAGTAATTCACCAAATTGCAGTAAGAACAAAGTAACCAATGACCACCAAGCAGAGCACGAGTTACGTTCTGTTCTTGAATCGCTGGAATCTTGAATCACCAGTCCTTTGTCTTCTCTTCTCGAGCCATGCTTCTTGTGATATGGAGTCGGTGGCGAGACCACCACCATCATGCTTCTTCACCCAAACAAAACCAGAATCAGAACAC